GTGATTTGCCAGAAAAATATAAGTTCATATACTAGTATTTTGGTAATCTAGCCCGGATTTTACCGAAAAATAGCCGTATAATTATAATCTATGACAAAGTAGTATATTTTTGCCATATAAATCCTAGTAAAATTCTGGTATACAACAAACTAGTATTATTTCGGCTGCAAAATAATAGTATTTACCTCGAATTTTTGCAGACTAGTCTACTTTTTTCGGCAAAATAGCCTCCGTTTGTAGGTAGATTTTCTAGAAAAAAAAAAATCAAAATTTTTTTAAAAATCAATAGATATTAACATATATATTTACATATATGTATTTATTATATATGAAAAGTCTTACTGTTAACCACTCAGTTCAAGCACAGTTTAGCTCTTTGGCACACATTGAATTACCTCGATTAGTTAACGGTTTCATTGCCAGCACTCCGAACAGCTGATGACCTACAATTACCACTGCAGTTATGCTTTGCTATAATTTCGGCTTATTATTTGGGGAAAAAAGGCGTATGAGATAGAGGTATAAATATATATGGCATATACATATGTACATGTGTATGCACGTATACGAGTGTAGGAATTTATTTGTATATATATGTAAATATGTATGTTAACACTGCTGCCTTTCCACTCAAATTATCTAATCTTGCCTTTTGCTCATTCATTTGCCAATTATTGTCTTTTATCTCCACTTTGTGCCAATATTTAGGTATCGAATTAATTTTATTTTTACGTGGATACTGAAATTCTTGACTTTTAAGGCTGTGCATGCTCCGAATATTCCTTTGTATCACAATAATTGTTGTTGTTTCTATATGCAGTACTATAATTTGTCGTTTGTGCACGTTTTTTCATTTAATTAAATAAATTACGCTGATTTGCTACTTTCTTTCAATCAATAAAATTTGTACATACATACATTTTCATATACATATATGTTATGTCTGTTCATTTATGTGTCATACAAACATACATACGAGTACTTATGCGCATTCCAACATGCGTTCCTTTGCATACCATTCTAATCACAAGAGTCCTGGATAAGTACCGTTTTCGTATGAAAAAAAAGGACTATCAAGAGGTGCCCATGTGCTCTCCTCATCAATTATTATATTTGGCGATTTATGTTTGTTAAGAGGAAATAGAAGGTACTGTTCACATTTCGTACTAAATTCACCTAAAAGCGCTGGTATGTAATGCCTTTGCTAGAACAAAAAGTGTCCTTGAACTTTAACGGTTCATTATGTGTCTTCAGTGTGCATAATCAACAATGGATTGCAGCTCCACCGATTTCGCTAGAATCCGTTAATTCAAACGACGTAAGATGAATAAAATAATTCATAAAATATGAGCACCATAATGACACTATTTCCATATGTCCATTTGAATGTTAGTCCACGCCAGAGAAGCAGCAACCCGAAGATTGTTTGGTTCAAGTGGCTGCTGGGGACAGTGATACCACAGAGGATCTTTACGACCTCCACTGACTAATCGAACCAATATGTGGAATTTGCTAAACTGAGCAGCCGCCGTATCTTAGCCTCCGTTTTATTGCTCAGATCTCAAAAGGTTGGCGCCCCTGGTGACTTCAAACTACTCCTCCAAAGAGCCTTAAGGCTTCAGGTTCCTCTTCTTGCCTGCAGCTGCTGCGAAGTCTTTGGATTGTACGACCAACCCCTCTGCGTGTTTGCACAGCAGAATGCGCACTGTAAGAAGACTTATAATTATAGATATCTTCTTTCTTTTTAGATCGATGATCTAATCTTCTTTCGTTCCATTCTAGCTAAATACGGGTTGAGACTTCACCGTCTTGAGTTAGCATCTTTAATGATTAACTCTATAATATTGAGTTTACTAGTGAACAGCGGCTTGAGCTAACTCTTCCCTGATGGCGAAGGGGAAGGGCAGTGCCATTTCTTGCAAGCTCGTCTGCCAACTCATTTCCCGGTATATTATTGGGTCCAGGCACCCGTATCTGCGAATTTATAAAGTCTGTCGACTGGTTTGGTTCATATGTACATATATGCCATAAAGCGCCTTATAAAAATCCATCAAGCATGAGAAGACCACTTGAAAAACTGTAGGTTCCTTCATTTGTGGGAGAAACATTAAGGTGCACTTGATAAATTCGAGTACGAGCCGAATATCGCTCCAGCAAGGCGCCAATGGTATCAAAATACTATAGAGTTCCATTGATTGACCTTGAACTTTATTGATTGTCATCCCATCTAGTAACAGCAATACAGCTCCCCCTTCATTGGTATTTGCGGACATCGTCATCAGATGTCCATTAATCAACCCATATTAACCGTCTCCCGAAAACTCTTTGCGTCGACTCGAAGGACGTCATTTAGCAGAACAGGAAGGAGGAGCGTGTTGTAGAGGGAAATTTCGCAATGGATTTCTAACATTGCTGTTGGTGCTTATATTGGTTCAAGATAGACGAAATTATTTAAGACTTCAAAGTCATGACTCTCAGTGACGGACGGAGTCAAGAAGTCTCAGGATAAAGAGAGTTTTGTCAACACATGCTACAGAAGTGTAAAAGGGGGCAGAATAAAACAAGTGCACGTCGCTGAAGAACAACCGAGAATGAGAAAAACCCAGGTTTGTTCATTCCTCTTCGTGTTCTGGAATTGTGCTTTCCTCAAACGTCCTCACGCCGTATTTTGCATAAAAACTTGGGTCTTAAAACTTATGAAGTTCAGCTAACACAAGAACTCAGGGCAACCGGTCATCAATAACGTCGTGTCTATGCTGTTTGGGTCCTTGCAATGCATGAAAATTATCCGGAATTTCATCGAAAAATCATCACTGATGACTGATGAAGCTCATTTCCAACTCGATGGCCACGTCAGTCGCAACTGAGGCTCGAAAAACCCTAGATTTCTTGTTGAAAAGTGTCACCATTCTCAAAGTAAGGCTGTTTGGTGTGGTTTTTGGTCCGGCGAGATCTTTGGACCTGACTTAATCGATAATGTGGCTTGAGCAACAGTTACGTCCAATGGATTCCGCTATCGAGTGATGATTAATACAATAATTTTTTATGACCGAAATAGGCTGTTCATAATCTGAACAATGTTTACTCTCAACAAGATGACGCTACGTGCCACACAAGCAACGAAACCATCGATCTGTTAAAGGAAAAGTTTCCCGAACGTGTTATCTCTCGGAGGGGTGAGTGCAAATGTCGACAGAGATCTTATAATTTAACATTTTACGACTTCTTCTTTTGGAGCCAAGTGAAAAATAAAGTCATCGCCAACATACCCACACGGATTCAAGACCTGGACTTCGTGAAGCTCACGAGCCGTCTACAGTCTACAGAGGTCACTCAGCAGGCACTTTGCGGTGGAAAATTCCATAAACTGGATACGGTCCTCTAAACGTAGCCTTGGCGACCATTTGGCAAATATTTCTTCCATTATTAATTGTTTACGTGTTTGTATATGAACATATAGATGTTTACATGTATTTCTCAAAAGAAATAGCATTATATATATAAATTGTTTTTTTTTTTAATCTTTTTCCTTAAAAAGTTTTATCTTTCGCTGCTTCTGGTTTATTTCTGTGTTGGCTTGGCTGGACTGCCGCATTCTCTATCTCTCTTTTGATTTCTTACATTGAGCATTTTTATGCGCAGAACTTTTTGCCCCATGGCAGTGTGATGTGAGATGTGACCCCCACCAGCCACCAGCCACCAGCCACCAGCCCCTACTTCAAATTCTTGGTTTTTTCAATTCTTCTTTCAACATCTGTTTCTCTGAATCGTTTGTATCTACTAAACTTTGCTACGCTTCCTTATGATTTCCTTAGAAGAATTACAAATACACACGTATGTATATGTGTATGTACACACTTCCTCCCCTCAGCTGTATGTAATTATGGGATCAAGTGGGCATGGCTAATCGATTTTAACCCCTCGCTGGCTGTGTGCGTTTGTGTGTGTGCGCACTTTATGTGGCAACATTTCGCTTACTCGCTGCCAGTTGGATAACTTTTAAGTTGTTGTTGATGTTGTAATTCTGCTATAGTTGTATTGGTTGGTGTATTGAGTCTGTGCTTTCTATACCGAGGGTTGTTCAGACATTGTGTACGATTTACAGAAATTAAAATCCGTTTATTCTTATTTCTATGCTGGTAAACCAAGAAGAATTCTAACGATAACGAACCAATCAGCCAACCAACCACAAATTCTTAGCACCAACTATGCGGCGGCTTTTACTCTAAACGTGCGTGTATGTGTATGTGTGCGTGTGTTTGTGTGTACGTGTGTGTGCATTCATGTGACTGCCCTTTTTTTTTGTTCTCTTTTCTGTAGCGAGTAATCGATGACGGTAATAAATGTAATTATTAATTATTTATGCTACTCATCCTTACCACAGTTACCCGCGCGACTGGCGTGTGTATTTCTGCCACGTCCTTCTGTTGATCTTCTTGACCATATTGCACGCGTCATCTGCAAGCTGTCGGATTTCCTATTTATTTTTCTATTTTCTATTTTCCATTTTCTATTTTCACCGTTTAATTGAGGGCAATGACGCAAAGAAAACGGAATTAAATACATGTGTATGCCTTGGTGGGTTTTCTGTTAAATTTTTAATCTATTTCTGTTATACGTACATATTTACATACATATGCATATACAGATATGTATCTCAAGAGTATGAAACAGCTGAAAATTTAAGTTTTTCAACTTTTTCCCAATGCCCACACAGTCATTAACCTTGCTTTTATTAACATTAAATGCTTCGAGTAAATTTTTTTAGAGAATTATGACATCCTCCAAATACTTTACTTTCGTATTTCTAAAAATACTATTTTGGAATTTCATTTAGTTATTAAACAAAAATGTTTTAAATAAATATCAAAGTTTAAAACTCCAATTTCCGCCACGTGCCTTCAATTAAAATATTTGTTTTGTTTATAAAGTTTACTTTGCTCAGTAGTTAATTGCAATTTTTGATAAATAATTTATTTTTCCAATTGTTTTTATTTCAGTTTAAAACCACCGCCCAAGGATGGCGTCACCAAAAGTAATCCATCGAAACGTCATCGTGAACGCCTCAACGCCGAATTGGATTTGTTGGCTTCGTTGCTGCCATTCGAACAGAATATTCTCAGTAAATTGGATCGACTGAGCATTTTAAGGCTGTCTGTTAGTTATTTAAGAACAAAAAGTTATTTTCAAGGTGAGTTTTTTTGCCCCCTTTTTGATATGCGCATATCAGGTTTTTTCCAAAAAAATCAGTAAACGTAAAAATTTAATTCATTAAAATTGTTGAGGCGAATCACTCACGGTGTTAATATGAAATTTTGAAAATTTCCGTGGCTTGTAGTGTACAAAATGTTTTTTGAGCAGAGTTGCCAGTGAATAAAAATTTCAAATTTTGCTGTATAAAGCTCAAGTTGGATAGGCTGCAGAGATATTTTGATCGGAGATGCTTTTGTAAAACCGGATTTTCTTCCTACATTTTGAAAATATATTGAAAATATATATTGAAGTTTGAAATGTTAATTTAAATCAATGAAGACTACGCAATATATTAGATTTTAATTTTCCTCAAAAAATATTTAATTATTTATGTATTTCTATTTCGACCTTCTACAGAGGTAACTCTGCTCTCATATAATATATTATACTTGCGTCAGCGTGTTATCCAATCCGCATAGCATTTCTTGACCACTCAAGAAAAAGTTTCATCCCATAAGCCCATTGATTCGTCTTGCCCCAATTCCAAGCGATTTATTTGAATACAATCGAATTCAGGAGAGAAAGAAAGAGTAAACAATATTCCTCGATCAGTTTTTCGACGCATAAAAACGCTGTAGACGGCTTGTCAACACGCGTACAGGTAAGCTACACTGAACGTGGGTAAAACATGGAAATACGCGCACATCTCTTTTCACTTGTTTTTCATGGGTTTGACGGAAGTCCTCTACTTCTTCATTGGGCCCCGCTTACGTGATTATAATCGATTAAACAAAAGCAGCCGATCGCACTTTTCGTCATTCCTTAGCGCCAGTTGAAAACGCCAAGTAAAACCAGATCGTTCTTTACCTGACGCTTCCAACGTAATGAAGATCTCCCTCATCCTCTTGCTTCCACATTGCAAGTTTTCAAGGTTAAAATGCTCTTATCCATCCGGACAACATAACCCAGTCAGCATAGCCGCAGCCTCGTGATTCGTTGAACTATATATATCAATGTCGCCGAATATCTCGTACAGCTCTTTCCATCGGCTGCGAAACGGCGCACAAACGACCCACAATTTTTCGAAAAACTTTTATCTTGAAGTCTCTCAATGCCGACTAATCAAATGTCGAAATTGTCCATGCTTCTGCACTATGTAGCAGGACGGGAATGTCGTTTCACTTTTCATTTACTTCCTCAGCCCAAAGTGGAAACTGTATGCAAGAGGGATACTGTTACCTCGAAGTTTGTCATTTAACAGGAGGTTTTTGTTAAGCATTTACCTCTTCTTGAAAACTAACAAAAAACTTATACTACGAGCAGAAAAATATCTTTATTTATCTATGGAAAACCACTGTACAATTTCATAACCTCACTTTTTTTCACCCAAACTTCATAGCCCAATACTGATGGAATTGATACATATTGAACTGAAATGATCGTGATTGAGCTCATCCATCATTTTTTACACCCTGCGGGTTAGGGGCTCAAGAATTTACCCGCGGTAAGGCATGCCTGTCGTAAGAGGCGACTAAAATCCAATAGTTCCCGCGACAGTCGGGTCTTTATACCGGAACGATTCGGATTTTTATCCGGCCAAGGACTGTGACTCCCGCAACATTCCCCAAAAAGTACTTTGGGGAATAATTTTGTGGTTACAACAACAACAACAACAACAGCCCATCCGTTTCTTGCTTACCAGCGCCATCTATTACTTAAGCTTAGCGGTAATATACTAATTTGGCGCAGCGAACGAAAAAGTTCAATGCTTTTGCTCAAATCATACCAATTTCCCTGACCTGCTTTGAACTTTCTTCCGCAAGGAACAATACCAAATATGATAATCTATACAAGAATCTACCTAGAAGTTTCGAGGAAGGCTAAACAGGTTCTTGGCAGATTTCCAGTAAAAAAAACGACTCCTCCGAGAGATCGGGTCTGCTTCCCGAAAAAAAAGAAAAATAAATTTCCAATAAAGAGTTATAAAATAAATTTCCTGGAAGAAAGTGTCCTCTGCCTAGTAAACTAAACGAAAAATCTGGTGAAAAATAAAAATAAATCGAATAATAATCGCGATTTCCAGGGCCAAATTTGAGTGTAACGATCCCACAAATTCGTTTTATTTGTAAAGTTACGTATAAGGCCTCTTGCAGAAAACCGAGCCGAGGGCAGAGCTAATGCACGAGAGAATATTCTTTGCAGTTGTATGCATAGACATCAATACAAGCTCGCGCTCATACAGCAGAGTGCAAGCCGAGCGGAGCTAAAAGTAACGCTGACCGTTGCATGAAACTCAATCTCAGGCCGCTTTTAAGCCCCGACTCTCACTGAAGTTGGATTGTATTATCAGTGGTTAATCATTAGGTTCGTCATGACTGGCGATTATACGTGGTTTTACATAAAAAAAAAGATTTTTTAGTTAATTTTTATTGCAACCTGTGTATAATAGGCGGAAGATTTTAGTTTGCTGGATGGGGGAAAAAGCGTGGAAATGGCAAAACCAAATTATTTCTCCTTTTCTATATATTCCACCGCAAAATGGATTATCTCCAAAAACCGCCGATTATGTCTTCTTCCAATAATAGTAATAATCTCTAGGGGCCATGTCTAGGCTTTAGGGTTAGTGATTGAAAATATCGAAGTGGACGAAGGTGTTGTCATCAATTTTGATCGACTTTTTTCTTTAATGGCTTCCTTGAGACGCTCGAATATGGATGTAGTCCTCAGTTATAGAAACTTCTTTATACCTTTTAATTAATCAAAAATACTTATTTCGAGTTCCAAATGAGTTTCCCGGTTTACTGTGACGCCTTAAACTGCTTGGAGGTGCTATGTCCTTTTTATGCCACTGCATGGAGTTTTACCTGGACTCAGGTTCTTGATTTTGTCTCCAGTAACCATTAGACTCAATATATCATCTTCTTTTGATGTTTTTGTGAAGGCGCCCATTTTGCGACGACTGAGACATGAGCCAAGTTGATCGTGCAGCATCTTAAATTTGGTTGTATCGGAAATGTCAATCATATCTGTGAGTTGTTTATTCTATAGTCCATTATTGTCCAGGACAATTTTTCCAACTCACAGGATAAGTTCTCTCGAGGCCACCACTATGTGCCTACTCGGCCTCAGTTCATCTTCAAGAGATTCCCTTGCTTGTTTAAATAAACTGTGACATTTGTATATCAAGGATTTTCCTGGACAAGAGTTGCTATAAATTAATGACGACTCATTCTAAATGGTTGCATCTGAGTCTAAATGGGACTTCTGAAAATTAAAGCATAGATGAAAACTCCAAAAATTTATCCAAATTAGTTGAACTCTGACCAGCTGGTCACTAGAGGTCATTCACTTATACGTTCTGGACCATTAACTCTTTCCCAAGGAGCACAAGGAAAGGACAAGGTATAAATGACCAAACACACAGAGCAAAACAAACAAAACTGCAAATGTATTAATAATAACGAGGGGAGCGAACGAAAAAAGTGCAGGAAAAAAGGACACTTTTGCGTAGAATACACATGACACAGGAACACTTAGCAGCCGAACAACACACGCCTCGAAACGAACAAACAAACGAATAGACAAACGACACAAAACAACTGACAATGCGACAATGACAGTACCAGCATTGCTAAAGGAGGGTCGTAGGCGCGTGGCGAACACATTAAAATCGTATCGGAATTGTAAATATTTGTGCTGTTGTTGGTCTCTCTCGCGGCCGGCCGGACGAGCGGACAGAAGCACACACACACTTTGTAGGTTGGGGTTGTAACCAGAGTGAATGGTGGCGTAAATTCCAAAAGATCATTTCGAATAGTTACATATCAAATTGTATAATGTTTACCGGTTTTAAGTTAATGAAGTTTGGTAGTAAATTAAAGAAACACTAAGCCGTGAGGATCGAAAGTAGCGCACAAGCAGCGGTGCAAATGTTCGTGGTATGGTAGGCTAGTAAGTGAAGAAGAGTAGATTCCTTTGCTGACCAATTGCAATTCGATTAATTTTTTATTTCGAAAATAAGATAACACAGTAATATTTCACTTCCCGAGCCTTTCAGTAAAAATGCAACACCCTGACTATGACGACTTTCGAATAGCGATTGCACTCTTAAAGGACAAAAAAACGGCTGGAGCCGATGTCGATGTACCGGCTGAGCTATTTAAACATGTCAATGAAAAGCTGACTGGTACCTAAGAGTGCTCTGCCCTACTCCTTATATCTCATAAAGGGTCATATCGAGCACATCTTGGAAAAGATCCGAGAAAAGACGTTCGATACACACCATCCCTTTGTCGAGTTTAAAGCAGACTTCGACAGCACGAAATGGAGCTGTCTCTACGCCGCTCTGTCTGAATTCGGTATCCACGCAAATCTTATACGGTTATGTAAGCTAACGTTGACAACCGCTAAAAGCTCCCTCAGTGTCGATAAGAACCTCACAGAGCCGTTCGATACCAAACGAGGTTTTAGACAAGGTGACGCTGTATCAAGTGCCTTCTCCTGCTGCAGAAAATGATACGAGTAACAGAGCTGAATAGCTGCTAGCATGCGCCGTTGTTATTGACATCATTATCCGCAACAATCGTGCCGTTAGTTCTGCTTTCTCCAGACACGATAAGGAAGCAAAGAATATGGGTCTGGCAGTGAACTAGGTCAGAACGAAATATCTCCTGTTATCACACAAACACTCATCATATTCTCGACGCGGCTTTCACTGTTGACTGTTGACAATCATAACTTTAAAGTCGTAGATAATTTTGTCTATCTGGGAACCGGTATTAAAATCAACAACAATGTAAACTAGAATTGAAAAGTAGAGTCCTCTATCGAAGATCAAAAACCAAACTCTACTAGTCTCTCTGCTTTCCCGTCGAAATGGTGCGAAGGCATGGGCAATGACAACTTCTGATGACTCGGCGTTAGGAGCTTTCGAGACAAGGGTTTTGCCCAAAATTTATGATCCCTTCGGCCACTGCGGCTGTAAGTAGATTTGAAAGA